TCAATCAATCAATCAATCAATCAATCAATCAATCAATCAATATGCAAGAGAGGGTGGTGGGACTAAGAGAAGGGTCTCTCTTGAAGTTCTTAGAAGCTGAGAAGGTTCACATGGGAAGATACGGTCCTTCATATAGCCTAGACCCAAAACATGCAAGGCTTTGTAGATCATATAACCATCACTTTGACTTGGGTCTGGAAACAGATCGGCAGCCCGCGAAACTGTTGTAACAGAGGACTCTGTTGTTGGAGCCAGTCTGAAGGGAGGGAGTGATTTGACAGAACCAGGAGGGAGCAACCTAGGAGGATTCTGGCTACAAAAGAAGTGTTGGTGCTTTGACATCTACAAGTATAAAGGAATTTTCTAATTCAAAATCAATTTATCGTGAATACACATGGCAACCTGTGGGGATGTCAAAGCACTAACACTTCTTTTGTAGCCAATATATATTGGCTACAGGTTGCCATGTGTATTCACGATAAATTGATTTTGCATTAGAAAATTCCTTTAAAAGTTTAAACCATGTTCTTGAGGTTTGGAAGCTAACTGCTGGTCAGCATGGTAGGATTTTATAACCTCTTACAATTGCCAATAGACGTATACATCAAGGTTGGAAAGTTAAACATACACCATTCACTCTTCAATGGTCAGAAGACCCTATACTTCAGCTACAAATGAACACCTATTCTGTCAATGTCATCTCTAAATGAACTCTCTTTTGAGGGTACATTGTCCCCTCACATTAAGATGATTATATGACAATATATTTTGTATATCCCTCATTTTTTAAATTTTAATTTTCTTTTCCTTCTTTCCTTCCTTTTGATTTGCCATGAAAATAAAATACTTTTTTTTAAAAAAAAGAAATGACCAACTCATCTCAAAATGCTGTTAAAGGTGAAAATAAAATATTTTTTTTTAAAAAAAGAAATGACCAACTTATCTCAAAATGCTGTTAAAGGTTTCTTATTACACCCTTTAAAAGCAGCTTTTTGAAAGTAACTAGATGATGTTATTCATTATGCCAGGAAAGTAATGCTGGTCCTACTTATTACATTAGTTTTGAAATGTAACTTCATTACAGTCTACAGGTAAGTTTGTAATTTATAACTTGTTATTTTAAACCTTGCTTCCTTTTTCCACCTGAATATCTGTTAGAGTGGAGTGCATAATGTCTACAATCTAGCTGGAGCAGAAGTGACATCACTAAAGATTCTATAACAGATTGTATTGTTGTAGAAGATATTGACGTGTGCTATTTTCAAAAAGCTTACTCTCTCTTTTATACTAACCACTTCCACTGCCCCTTCCTCATTGCTTGTTGTGAATCTTAATTTTTTTTCCTTTTTTCCTAGCTGGTTATTACCACTTTTCTGGGATTAATTGTTGGAGTTGTTTTTGCTGGAGTTAAAAATGATGCCACTGGCATTCAAAATAGGTTAGTATCCATTAGGAATATACTTTAAAAGGGGATCAAATTTTCCTTCATCTGGAGTCATTTACTTAAATTTTACAATGTACTGAAAATGCATAGATAAAGAACCTAATATGCTTTATACTATGGTTTCTAGTTCTCTTGTGATTTGAATTTCCTTCAACTATGGGTCCAGAAGGTGACTGACAGAAGATGCCTACGCAGTGGAATTTAGAGGGATTGTTATATTTGCAGGAATAACTTCTAGCAAGTATCCTTTAAAGACCAAGCCCTGTTATTTCCTCCTCATCCTAATTCTTCCCTCCCAGAAATCCACAAACATCCAGCCTTCCTGAGATTCAACTCACCTTCTGCCTCAGATGGTTTCCTTTGTTTACAGTGGCCTGGTTAACTTGCTTCTTGCAACTTTATCTCTTTATAATGTGAATCCACCTGTGGAATAATGATATTGATGCTACTCTTGTTTCATTAATATTAACATGTTTTGTTGTCTTGTTTTGTTTTTGTTGCTGTTTTTTCTGTTATATGCCCACCTAATTTTGAAATTCTTGGATTTTCTTGCAGAGTTGGTGCTTTGTTCTTTTTGGTTACTAATCAGTGTTTGAATAGTATAACGACGGTTGAACTTTTTATCATTGAAAAAAGAATATTTATGTAAGTAAATCTGTGTGTCATGGCAAACGAAGTGTGTCTTTCCTGTTAGCAGCTTTATTCATTTATCTGTTGTATGGTTAAGTTGTTTATCTGTCAGCTGGCTTCACAGCCCTGGGCATGCAGCCATTTTGCACACACTCTACCAGAAAGCTCCATCACAGCTGTAGAAAAAAATGTCTCTCTCTCTTTGTGTGTGTGTGTGTGTGTGTGTGTGTGGTCCCAAGGCTTATGTGAATGACTGACTCACTATTTTATCTCTGTGAATATACACCTTGGAAGAGTAACCTTTTGGAGTACAACTTCCAGAATTCCCTGGCTGTCCTGACCACCAAAGGAATTCTGGGTATTATAGTCCAAAGAATAATATTTCCAAGCTTTGGGTGAATGCTGGCGCAGCAATTGATTGTTTGTTATTAACAATTAACAATTGTTTGCCAGTAAAATCCAAAACACAGAGACTGGGACATCATCATCATTCTTATTCTTATTCTTTACATTGCCTTGTATCATGACAAGCTAACCTGGCACTTTGTATTAACTCAGTTTGCTTCAGCTAAGCTAATGACAAAGAGTATCCTAGCTGGGTGAACTCTTTCCATCTATCAAGGTGTCTGGATGAAAATCTAGGCTGAAAAAAAAAACATCCAGCAGCTGACGCTTCACATAGATAGCTTTGTTTGAGCCTTTGATAATGATGCTGGTGACCTCTTTGGAAAAGCTGTGAGATCAGCTGGGTGAACTCTTTCCATCTATCAAGGTGTTTGGATGAAAATCTAGGCTGAAAAAAACATCCAGCAGCTGACGCTTCACATGGATAGCTTTGTTTGAGCCTTTGGTGATGATGCTGGTGACCTCTTTGGAGAAGCTGTGAGAGCATTTAACAGAAACAGCTCCCTTCTTTGTTCAAATTCTTCATCAGCACTGTTGCTTTCAGCTTGGTTGGGGCTTGGTGCATAGCTGCTGGATTTGGATCCCCATTTTATTTTCCCTTTCTTTTTTTCTCAAGAATCATTTATAAATGATTCTCAAGAATCATTTATAAATGCTCTTTTTCTCAAGAGCATTTATAAATGCTCTTCATTTCTGTTCCTCCTGTCAATACCATCTTGACATTATATTCCTCTTTTGCTTCCATTCTGTTTAAATTCTTCTTGATGTAATCATCTGCTGTGCAACAAAAACTGAATCACTGAAATAATTTATTAGAAATAGGTGTAATGACACATGATACTTCACATTTTTATTATGCGTATAAAAGACACTGGATTAACCTGAGCTGTGTTGGGGCCATCAGAGATGGGAAGTGGACATGGTCTTTTAGTAGTAACTTCTAAGGGATGTTGTTACAGTAGACTGTTTACTTGTAAATGTGTTTAATGGAGATATAATAATTGAACAATATTAGAAGCAAAGTTATTAAAGCATATGTAATAATGCCTTATATGTTTCCTATGAGTGTGTTTTTTGCCTCAGTATGAAGTAAGTGTTTAACACCTGTGGTATCAGTTATTCTGTGAAGGTATTTTAATTTATTTTATTTGTTTAGACTTAAACCTGGCCATTTAGTAGACAACCAACTACTCTTTAAGGAACTGAAGGGCTTAATACTGCTTGGGCATTGTATTGTCTGGGGAGCTGCCTATACCACTTCACCAGAGCTTGTGGAATAGCAGGTGGTTTCTACAATTCGCTTCCAATTCAATTGAAATTCCAGATCCAACTTGGTTCCATTCCACTGAGAAAGCATACTCCCTACAGATCTCTTCAACTAGCATCATCTTTAAAAATCTCCTGGAACACAGAATAATACCTGAGTTTAAAGAAACAGCAGTTGATCTAAATAGGCACAGGATTGCCCCTTTCCTGGCTTCTTCTCATATTAAAAACTTTTTCTTTTCTTCCTTGCACAGGACATGCTACCACTGAGAACTTGGGGTCTTACCTCTTGTAGATGGAGTATATGAGAAATAGCTGGATACTCTTTGAGTAACTGTTTAAATGAAAAAACAATGTAAAACAAAAACAGCTGAGATGAGGGTATCTAGATGAGGAATACCCACTCAAAAGGATTAAATATCAGTCAAAGGTTCAATACTCATTTGTTGTTGTTGTTTAGTCATTTAGCCATGTCCAACTCTTCGCAACCCCATGGACCAAAGCATGCCAGGCCCTCCTGTCTTCCACTGCCTCCCGGAGTTGGGTCAAATTCATGTTAGTAGCTTCAATGACACTGTCCAACCATCTCGTCCTCTGTTGTCCCCTTGGCCTCCTGCCTTCACACTTTCCCAACATCAAGTTTTTTTTCCAAGGAGTCTTCTCTTCTCATGAGATGGCCAAAATATTGGAGCCTTAGCTTCAGGATCTGTCCTTCCAGTGAGCACTCAGGGTTGATTTCTTTCAGAACGTATAGGTTTGTTCTCCTTGCAGTCCAGGCGACTCTCAAGAGTCTCCTCCAACACCACAATTCAAAAGCATCAATTCTTTGGTGGTCAGCCCTCTTTATGGTCCAGCTCTCACTTCCATACATCACTACAGGAAAAACCATAGTTTTGACTATGCGGACCTTTGTCAGCAAGGTGATGTCTCTGCTTGTTAAGATGCTCTCGAGATTTGTCATTGCTTTCCTCCAAGAAGCAGGGGTCTTTTAATTTTGTGTCTGCAGTGATCATGGAGCCCAGGAAAGTAAAATCTGTCACTGGCTCCATATCTTCCCCTTGTATTTGCCAGGAGGTGATGGGGCCAGTGGCCATGATCTTAGTTTTGTTGATGTTGAGCTTCAGACCATTTTTTGCACTCTCCTCTTTCACCCTCATTAAGAGGTTCTTTAATTCCTCCTCACTTTCTGCCATCAAAACTCATTACCAATTGTGAAATCCTACATTGCTTCCCAGTTTGCCACTCGTGGCAACAATGCTATTGTTATCTTGTAGACTCATTGATAATTGAGCATTTGAAATTATTCTGAGTTTGGTAATCCTATTTCTTTACTAAGGAATCATTATCACTTTGTCCATTGTCTGTATCTTTACATGGTCATGGGCCATGTGTAAATATGAGTCATAATCTTACTCTAATGTCTGAGGAAACATACTTGGTCTAAGAAAGCTCCTATTAAAATATAGCAATTAGTCTTTAAGATGGAACAACATTTTTGTGTCTTTGTGAGGGTGTTCTTTTGTAGTTTTGTGGTTTTTTGCTGTTGTTGTTTTGTCTGATTACATGAGTTGCTATCTCGTTCCTGACAAAATGGGATTCCAGATAGAAAAGAATGTAAATGGGGGAGTGTCGTAAGGATAGGATTTTAGGGGCACACACAGAAATAACACCCCCCGTCGCCATTTTAGACGGTGACTCAAAAGGTTGACCACTTTCTGTCTTTTTTTCTATTTTAGACACGAATATATAAGTGGCTATTACAGAGTGTCTGCATATTTCTTCTCAAAAATAATAGCTGACATGATGCCCATGAGAACCTTGCCTGGAATCATCCTTACCTGTCTAAACTATTTCACAATAGGCAAGTATATCGTGAAACCAAAATATTCTCTCCTCCTCTACCTCACCTTGGAGAAATGAGGGCCCACATTTGTTTGTTTATGGCCTCTAAATTGCTCCTTAGATATAAATTTGAAGAGGTCAAAGTTACTAGCTATAAGATTAAATTATCCACTGCTTGTATTAAAGGGGGAAGGCTTAAGGTGCTCCCCTGCTCCATTTCTGACCAATATATTAGTTACTGCTTTGCCACAGTTGAGTGGGGAAGACATCATTCAGCTATGTTTGCAAGCAGAGCCAGAAGGAAAAATTATGGATTTCATGAAGTTTGGCTTCCCTTTCCCCTGAAATTGTGAGGCACATGCCCAAATGGAGCAATAGTGTGCGGGCATTAAGAGCAACACTGGTGGGGGCAGGCCATAGTTTCCATTGTGCACAAAGGGGAACAAAACTAATAGCTATGCATTGCAAAGGGTGACCTCTGTACACTCAAGAAATTACAAGGGTTAGTATCAAGCTATGGTATTTCACATTCATGGTTAAGGACTGAGCATTGAATGTTTTTTTCTTTACTGTTAAGTTTATTTAAATACTGTCCAAGTACCACATTTCCTTGGGGTGAACCAAAATGTCATCATTGAGGAACAAGGTGTGTGTGTGTGTGTGTGTGTGTGTGTGTGTGTGTGTGTGTGTGTGTGTGTGTGTGTGTGTGTGTGTGTGTGTGTGATCTATGATCTATGCACAAATACCAAATTTTTAGATTAGCAAACACACCCCAACTGGTAGATACACTCCTAGCACCTTGACCACCAGTCTGGACCATTACAAGCACAGTAAATTGCACTGCATTGCTTTCTACACTCCATCCTGAGCACTGGCTCAGAGGAGTTTATATTATACATTTACTTTAGCATAGTGGTACACTATTTATACTGCTTATATGTACATTTCTCTTATATAGACATTATGGCACTGGTTACATATGGCTATTGACTTTATTTTTTAAAAATCTGTTTTAGGTTTCAAACCGACTGCAGAGGCTTTCTTTATCATGATGATTACCATTATATTAGTCGCCTACACAGCCAGTTCTATGGCTCTGGCAATAGCAACAGGACAAAATGTGACATCGGTGGCAAACCTCCTCATAAACATTTGCTTTGTTTTTATGATTGTGAGTGCTTTATTATTATTGTCTCTGAATATTTAGTTTAAAAGAAACTGTATTGCATGAGGCTATTGTTGTCTCATTGCGCTTTGTATCTGTGAATTTCAGAATTACGATTCCAGTGGTGTTTTGTGTGTTGTGCTTATGTCGCTGGTTACAGAAACCCAGGGCTATTAGATAAGAATGGTGGAATAGAAATAAAAAGAAGTAATTGATGAATAAATAAATGGATTAAAAATGCTAGATACCAGTTGTTCCTCTATCTTTGACCATACCCTAATGAGACCAAGAAATGCAATCTTGCATGGATTGGTGCATATAAGGACAGGGGTGATTTTTAATGGATATGAGGCTCCACTGGTGGTCTAGCCAAGGACGTTCTCCAAGTACGAATCTGTGGCAAAGATTCTGGGCCCCACCCAGCATAAGGCATGGGGGGGCAGCAATGCCACATTTGATTCTAATTGAAATAATGCATGATACTATAAGGTGGTTAGCACAAAGTCTAAAATCCCTCATTGTTCAAACAACAGTGTCCCGTGTCCACTTTTGCTAGTATAAAGGAATGCAGTAGTTGCTCCTCAGTCCCATTTGGGCGAGGCAGGGGGGGAGGGCTAAAGCATGACAAATTGTTGGGTTATTTGCAATATAAATTCCCCCACCCCCACCCCTCTTCATGATTGTCATTATGTTAGTAAGTAATATGGCCTTCTATTCTCTATAGCAGCCATTGTTAATGGGGGCCATATTGCCTCCTGGGGGCCCCTGGCAGATTTGAAGGGGGCCACAGATTGGAAACAATCCTTCACATGCCACCTTATAAGGTTTGTTGTGTGATTTACACAACCCTGATTCGGCCTATATTTCTTTCATATTATCTTTGTGGGTGCGGTTAAAAAAAACTGCTGAGAATGTCTGGTTTATAGCAGCTGGGGAAGTATGGGATCCCCTGTGTATGGGCTTGCATATGGCCCGTGGCCCCTGCCCCTTACCAAGTCTAGTTGTGAACCTTGTACAGTTCTGCTCTACACCATGGTAGGAGTGAAAAGCCACCTGTGCTTAACTCTGCTCTCCAAGGCTGATCTATCACATTATTGGTGCCTTTGAGCATTGTGGATGTAGGCTGTTTGCTAAACTTCAACAATTGCACCTTTTACTAAGAAGGGAGGAAGACTATATTTAAAGGGAACTAGGAATGTGCTCAGTTGGTCAGTTAAGAGGCTCTTGGAGTCTTGCTGCTCAGGAAAAATGAAAGCTACAAATCCGTTAATGTATATGTATAATGATAATTACAGATACAAACGAACTCTGGGCAGAACTGTGGGATTCTTTACGGTTATAAACAACGTGCTGTCCTTTAACAGCCCTTCTTTTTCCTAAGCTATCTTGTTGTTGCTTTTAGGTTTTCTCCGGCTTGTTGGTAAATCTGCCAACCATTTCATCTTGGTTGCTATGGCTACAGTATTTTAGCATCCCTCGCTACGGCCTCAATGTAAGCTCTAACCCTCCCCTTTTGAATATTGCTGTTGTTGAAAGAAGTGAGTTTATTACCTGGCACAAAATGCAATCCCATGAATGTTAAGTTCTTATAGTTCTTACAGCTTACCTCCTGCTCAGTACAGGTTGGTGGAACCTTAAAGGCCAAGCCCAAGGCTGGGTGCATAACAAAATGGAAAAGGTTGGATGAATGAGATGAGGAGATGGCCTAGATAAAGGTGCCCCTTCTTCCTGCTTGCTGTGGTGGCGGCAAGTTTGAGTTAGTGGGATTGTGACAGCAGGCTGGGGACCTAATAATGGCAGTAGCAGTTATTGTACTTGCTGGCATATATCCCGCATGACAGTTTTTTCGCTAGACATTGACTTTTTGCGATCGCTATAGCGATTCGCAAAACAGTGACTCCTAAGGGGGAATTTCGCTGGATAATGTTTTGTCCCTGCTTCGCAAACTAATTTTCGCTAGACAACAATTTTGACAGCTCCCTCCGCGCTCGTGTTTTCGGGACCTAAACTTCGCAAGACAGCTATTTAAACAGCTGATCGGCAGTTCGCAAAACGGCTTTCCTATGGCTGATCTTCGCTAGACAATGATGATTCTTCCCCATTGGAATGCATTAAACAGGTTTCAATGCATTCCAGTAGGGAAATGCTTTTCGCTAGACAATGATTTCGCTAAACAGTGATTTCAGTGGAACGGATTATCATCATCTAGCAAGGCACCACTGTATACTGTATTGTTGTTGTTGTTCTTTAGTCGTTTAGTCATGTCCGACTCTTTGTGACCCCATGGAGCAGAGCACGCCAGGCCCTCCTGTCTTCCACTGCCTCCTGGAGTTGGGTCAAATTCATGTTGGTAGCTTCGATGACACTGTCCAACCATCTCATCCTCTGTCGTCCCCTTCTCCTCTTGCCTTCACACTTTCCTAACATCAGGGGGTTTTCCAAGGAGTCTTCTCATAAGATGGCCAAAGTATTGGAGCCTCAGCTTCAGGATATACACTGTATATAAAAATCTAAACATAATTGTTATTATCTAACGACATCTAGTGGTTAATTTTGCAAACAACATTGTGGTGCCCGTAGAAGCCATATCATTTTGTTTATGGGCTAGACTAGAATATATTGTTAACAATTAATTATTCATTCATAAGTGCTTTATTTTTCTTTCCATCAGGATGCACAGGTAGCAGTAGTGTTATAAATTTAACAAACTAGCACAGGAATGGAATGAAGGAATGTCCATCCAACCGCTTAAAGGAAGTTGAATATAATTTTATTGCAAAAAGATTTGTTATACAGTGTTTTGGCAATAACATGTTAAAGCAACAATTACATCTTTTAAATAAAATTGTGGGAGAATGAAAACTGATCAAAAAACCAGTTTGTAAATGTGTCCTGCAAGAACAATAGGAGAGCAGGGCTCTAATAGCTGTGTTGAAGAGGTCCACACAGCAGCTTTCCTGGAAAGCTCCAACTTCTGATATCCCCTTCTCTATCCAATAATGAAATGAACAGAAGCTCAGTCTCTTTGCCAGCTGCCCCGTCCTACTGCTCGGCCAGTGCTTTCTATTACTCCTCAGTGTGGTCACATTAAGGGCAGACCTTAAGCTTGCATGGAAGCTTCCTTCCCCTCTCAAGGTACCAGAGTTCCACAATCCTAGATTTAATCATGATAAATGCGTGCCGCCAAGTCAATTCTGACTTTTGACTGTCCTTTCCAGGATACAGAGGAGTGCAAATCATATTTCCTTTAAGCACCATTGGGCTGTATCCATCATTTGCTCCTCTGAAAAACATGACAATATTTCATAATATAGGCAAGTAATTTGGTTGTCTTGTCTGTCTTCATAGGCTTTGCAAATCAATGAATTTACTGGGCTCAACTTTTGCGAGGACAGGACGGATGCAGTCAACGTGTCATGTCTCACTCCTAGTCCATTTACAATGTAAGCATCACATTGCAAACTGTTGCATTATTCGGTAAGCTAAACAGAAAATGCATGGATTTAACTGTTCCCTCCTTGTCCACTAATCACTATAATTCACCTTCTTCGCTTTTTTCTTTATATACATAGTTGTGATGCTTGCTAGTGGCCACAGAATGACTACCCATAGATGTAACTTTGTAACCTTTTACAAAAAATAAAGGATAAGCACATCCTTGATGCCCATCAAACTGCAGGATAGCTCAGTGGTTTAGCTCTCTGGCTGAGGAACCAGAGGTTAGGAGTTTGATTCCTCATTGTGCCTCCTTGACAAGTGCTGGACTTGATGAGGCACAGGATCCCTTCCAGCTCTGCAGTTCTAAGATGGTGATAATGATTATACAATCATGCCCCGCTTAATGACTGCCCCACATTACGATGAATACGCTTTATGACGATGTTTTTGCAATCTTTTTGCGATTGCAAAACAATGGTCTAAATGGGGGAATTTCACTTAGCGATGATCGGTTCCCTGCTTCAGGAACCGATTTTCGCTTTACGACGAACAAAAACAGCTGATCGTTAGGTTTTCAAAATGGCCGCTGGGTGCTTAAAATGGCTGTGTTTAGGGACTGATTCCCCACTGTACAGGCAGTGAAAATGGCCACCGTATGTGGGATTTTCACTGGACGGTGAGTTTTTACCCCATTGGAACGCATTGAACGGGTTTCAATGCGTTTCAGTGGGGTTTTTAATTTTGCTTTACAATGTTTTTGCTTAACGGTGATTTTCCTGGAATGGATTATTGTCGTTAAGTGAGGCACCACTGTAAACTGTTACTCTTGAATGGGAGTAAAACTCTAGAATGCAATCCTAAATAGTCTACGTAGCAGAGCTGATACTAGGCTAACTGAAATGTGCTGAATTGAAACCCCATTCAGTCTTTCTAGTTTATAAATCCTTCTAAGGCTCAAGTCCATGCTCCTTCCTCTACTGCCAGAGGATATGTGAACTTCTGCTTTTAACAAATATCTTTTTTCAGCCATATTCTTTTTTTCCCCCAGTCACATGAGTTACAGAGATAAAACAATATTGAGACTGGGTTGGGAATATACCAGCTATAGCATGAAATGAGTTTATAATTTATCTCTAAAAAGATCCCAAGTGCGGAATGATTTAACCACTCCTCATGGGAGAGAGGAGGTCCCAGAAATGGGATCGCTGTGGAATGGGGTGAGGGAATCCTCATCTTCTGTTCTAGAGGTTTAGCACACTATCAATCCGGACAGACTACAAATGACGTCTTCCATCTATTCTACCTCTGGTCATTCTTTTGAATCACTCTAGGTTACAGCAAAATAAGGTAAATTAAGCACAGTGCATTTCTAGTAGGTGTTTGACTAACTTTTGTCCTGTCTTTGTTAGATGCACCGGAGAAGAATATCTAAAGATTCAAGGAATCCTTGCAACTCCTTGGGGCTTCTGGAAGAATTTCGTTGCACTTATATGCATGACACTTATTTTTCTTACCATCGCATATCTGAAATTGAGATTTCTAAAGAAGTATACTTAAATGAATGGGTTGAATATATCTACTGCACTTTTATAATAAAGATGTAATATTTGTAAAGTATAGAAGTCATTAAATACCTCGCTTATTTATCCATGTTCACTTCCAATCATTTTAACTAAGTAACTAATTAGATGGGAAGTTGTCCCAGGCTGATGTGGAATCTCCTATGATGCGGCCCAGCACTTTGTACCAATTGAATCTGCTGTTGTCATTCATACAACAGTATGTTTAATCACCCCAGGAAGGTGGGTTACAAGTGTCCACATAGCAGAGGGTCTCTTTTAGTACTTTTCTCCCTGTAGGTCTTCATGGTCCTCTGCTATCCAAGCTCCCTTTCTTACCAGACCACTTCATTTGCTCCGTTCTTGAAATGACCTAGTGTTGAACTGACAGTGACAGTTGAAGCTTTCCTTGGTCTGCCCAAATCTCCATGTACAGAGTTGTGTGTATTAGTCTCTGTCTTCTGCAAAGGAAAGAGGCAAAGAATCCTGCTTCTTTTTCCATTCCAGGGCGGACCAAAAAGTTTCATCCAAGCAGGATTTTTCAAAAAGATGCGTACAAACATGGATGCGAGCCAAAACTGTGGCTTAAGGGTTGCTCTAAAAGGAAGACTCCTAGTAGTGAAAATACAGCTTTGGAGGCTGCATTGAATGCGGCTTATGTAATCTAATCAACTGAAACCCTCCATCAATTAACAGTGAGAACTGTCTGTCTTGTCATGCTGAAAACTGCAATTGTGCCTGGAACAGTCCAATCTCCTGTGCCTATTTTTTGTTTCAAAAAAAGCATGTGGGTTTGGGGATGAAAAACAACATATTAACCCTTTTCGTCACCGTAGTCCAGTAAGAATTCTCCAGCTGATGGCATTGGATGCTTTGCCTCTATTGCAAATAAACTTAAGTAATTCTAAGTAAACCCTTCTCCAGTGGACCCAAACTGTATCCTCCAACCCAAGTATTTGTTGGAAAAAAGCAGAGGCATACACGTACAGTGAAGAATACCGCATCTAGTTTGTCTTTCATCGAAGTGTAAATTCTCATAGACATCAGGCAGTGTGAGAAAGACCAGGACTATTTTATGTTGTGAAACACATATATTTTCCATTTCCCCAAAAAGAAATTAAAGCCTATATATTGTGCGCTAATAGGAACTGTAGCCTCCAGTAAGGTTCTGGTGAAGGGAAAGTGATGGATCTAATAATCATAGGAAAATAAACAGCACCCAGTTTGTGGCTTGGTTGAGTGTCAACCAATCATACCGAAACTGTACTATTCAGATAGAAATATTGAAACCTTGACTCCTCATTTCTGTTAAATGCTTCTCATACAAAGCAGAACTTTAAAAAGGAATTGGAGTTTCACAACTACACCACAGCAGCTCTCAAGTAAAGATACAAATCTTAGTCAACAAGAAAAGTTAAATATACAACAACCAGTAGATCTTTGTAAATTGTTTCTGCAGACAGAAGCATTTTGTTTTGTTGTTTTTGTAGTTGACCACAAAGAAAAATTGTACTTTGAGTACTGAGTCCCAGATATTATCCCCTTCCTTGAAAATGGAAACTCATCTGCCCAACACTCTACTCCAAAGAACACACATACTACTGTAAATCATATAAAAAGTTTATTAGGTGGAGAAGTGGTCACTTGATACATCTTTGATCACTATAGAAGACTTAACAACTAGAACACTGTTTATACTCTTTGATATAAAGACATTAAAAAACCCACAGAATAGTACAGTAATTCACAAATTACCCTTAGATGGGGGAAATGAAAGGATACAAAAACAGGTACCTTAGCTGCCATACCATAATTGTATGTACATTGTCATTTTGCATGGATAACCCATGAAAGCCTATTGCACTTCAAAATGAAGTTTGTTATAAAGTAACAACATGTTACAGAAATATCAACTAATATGATTATGAATACTAATGTTTTGTTTTTCATAAAAACAGCTGCAAATGGAAGATACTGTGACTGCTATCAAAAAGGCCACTTAAAAATGTGCACATCAAAGCTGTGGCAAGACAATATATCCATCATATTTATAAAAGGATAGGCTTGCTAATTTCACCCAGCTAAGCTGTGATATCAACCACAGAAAGAACTTTTCCCATCAAATGGACAAAAGCTCTTAATAGAAACCTAAGGTCTCAGACTGTCGGACGGTTTAAAGCAGTCTTCATACCAAATTAGCTCTACAATATTTACTTGTAGATAAACTCCACTGAGCTCACAGGCACTTACTTTTAGGTGAAGCTATGGTTATGTTCTACATTAGAAAAGGGACTTGTGGCTGCTACCTCCAGTATTAGAGGCAGTATGACTCACAATGTCAATTCTTGGGATGCAAGAGTAAGAGGCTGCTGTTGTCCTGATGTCTTTTTGCAGGAACACAATGGGAACTAGCTGGTCAGGGCAGACCACAATGGTGGTCTAGACAAGCCTTGACTTCATCTAGCAGTACTCTTACATGAGAACAGGTACTGTGCTTCACAGCGGTCAGTGGAAAACAGGTGGGACTATATTAATCAGAACAATATAGAAAATAAAGGAATTTCAAATTCTGCTAGATCTAAATCAAATATCAAAACATCAAAATAAAAATGAGGAGGTACAGTAGTTTTTTGTTTGTTTGTTTGGCAAATGGTTCTCATAATCATTTAACATAGTACCCTCCCCACTTGACAGCGGAGATAGCAGCAATTTAATCTTTGGTTTGGATAATCTTCTTACCACTTTTTCCATAAAGATATCATCACCTCTGCATTTTCAAGCAGGGGAGATTTACACATTTACTGTGTGTGTGGCTGTTCCAAAGGCTAATTAACTGGATTGGAGAGGAGCCCTATATATACGTTTTATTTTAAAACTGTTCTCTTCCCGTTTCTTTCTTTCTTTCTTTCTTTCTTTCTTTCTTTCTTTCTTTCTTTCTTTCTTTCTTTCTTTCTTTCTTGGATGAGAATATGTGAGCTTTGAAATCACACAAAAAGCTGCACTACATTCAACTGAAGGAGTGAAAATTGGTGGAAGAAAAATTCAAGATATACAAATAATGCCATATTATTGGCAGAAAGAAGCAATGACTTGAAACAACTATTGAAAAATGTTAAAGAAAAGTGTACAGAAGCAGGAACAAACATGAATATAAAGAAGACCGAAATTGTAACAATGAAAACATTGCGTAAGTTTAACGCTGAAAATGAAGAAATCTAAATGGTCAAAGGTTTACTATAGCATAGTTCCATCATTAATCCAAAGGGAGACTGCAGTCAGGAAACCTGAATAAAACTCTGACTTGAATGCACAGCTATGAAGGAACTAGAGCAGATCCTTAAAGAGTCAGGATGTATCATGGAGGGCCAAGGCCACAATTGTATGGATGTGAAAGCTTGACAATGAAGGATTTACATGGGGAAAAACCTGGTTCATTTGAAATGTGATGCTGGACTATCAGAAACACACAAAAAGGTGTGCTAGATCAAATCAAATCCAAACTCTGCCTAAAAGTCAAAATAACTAAACAGAGCTACTACATAAGACAAGACTCACTGGAAAAGACTATGGCTGAAACCCAGTAGTCATTCACACCAGTGTAGCCTATTGAATCAGTGGGGATTTGGAGAGTGATCCTACTCTAGTTGTGAGCCTATTGAATCAGTGGGGATTTGGTGAGTGATCCTACTCTAGCTGTGATTTACTACTGATTTCAGTCACTGTTTGGGAAAGTGGAAGGTGGCAGGAAAAGAGGAAGACCAAGTATTAGACAAATTGATTCAGTAAATGAAACCACAGCCTTTAGCTTGCAATATACAAGCAGAGCTGTTAGTGATAGAACATTTTGGAAGCCTCCGATTCATAGTGCCAATGCAAGTCAAAAGTGACTTGACAGTACATATAAGAGCACCAAACATCTATAATACAGTTTTTTCCCCTCACTTCTGGAGAGTTACGTTTTAAGGGAGAAAAAAGCCCAATCTCAATATATTATATATCTGATTCCTATATGTGCTTATGTAGAAACAGCTAGTTACTATGCAATCCTATGTATGTTTACTTGGAAATAAGTCCCCTTGAGGGCTCTCTGTCAAGTAAATGTGTCCCTGAATGAAGCACTAGGCACTGAGCTAATAATTAATTTCCCTTATCTATCTATTTCTTCCGATAGATGAAAGTCCAAGCGTCTTGAATGGAATTTAAGTCTTATTTTATATTAAAAAATCTAGCTGTCAAAAGGCCAGCTGAGACATCTCATAAATTTCTAAAACAAAGGCAGCTAACCTGCTTACTGTGCTTTCCTTGTGTCAAAGCATTTTATCACCTTCATTAATTGCGACAGGTTTTGTAAGCAAAATACAAATGCTACTAGACATGTATGTTGCTTCCACCATTTCCAGCTCCTCCTCCATCAACATCTTCTGTGGACTGGGAGGAAGAAGGCCGGGAACTCCTAGCCCGACACTGCCCATTGAGCCCTCCTGGGGTTCCCAATCGATGGCTCGCTTGGGATGCGGTGTCATCTGATTCCCAGCGCTCCAGCTCTTCCCGTACCAGTCTTTCCATCTGATCCCTTTGAATCTCACTGTCCCGGCCCAGCCTTTCATCCTAGAAACAAACATCATTGAGGATCACAGGGAGATTGCCCAAACCTCCCCCCCCCAAATCATTGTGCCTAGTACTTAATTTAATTAGAAAATATAAACAGTGTTAAAAGCATGGGTGCCACAAGATAGATCACATCAATCTGTTCACCTTTTTTTTTTGAGAAGTGAATTTACCTCTGCAACCCCATCCAGTAGCTTCCCCAAGACCTCTTTCCTTTTCAGTTTTGCTCTCTCCATGGTTTCCAGTTTCACAATGACAGCATCAATCTTGGAAACAATGCTGCCTATGGAATGCTCCATGCGATCCACTCGCCGCACCAACCTAGAATCAAAAACACTTTTTAAAGGTATCCACGGTTAATGCTGTTATCATACTTCACACCATTCAATCCCTCACATCTTTAGCTTAAAAGGTCTCAAAGATCATATGGGCTGATGAAAGAATAATGGGATTTAAAGCAATATATTCATTTTCTGCAAGAGATGGAGGAGATCTTTGGACAGGTTGCTCCTCCCCCTTGTTCTGAGAAGCTGGAATATGCAACCTGCTTCCAGTTTTGGAAGGTGCCACAGCAGCACAGACTAAACAGGCAGAAAAGATACTCCTCAAGAGATGCAGAACTATGGGAACAAAAATTATGACTCAGAAGCTATAACCAAGAAGCATCGTGGAACACCAGCATGGGTTAGAGATACATGTTGTTAACTCCTGAGCCCCATGCAGCAGCAAGGGGAAACCACTCTAATGGTAGGGAGGGTATCTTCCTTCCACTGAAGCCAATGAACATGGAATGTATTTCTAACTACAAAGGACATCGTTGTTCTAAGAAAACACAGAATTTGTGTTCAAGTGGAAGAAGAGGAAAGGCAGCTTCCAATGCTCTTGGACTGCTCTTAATTAAGTAAGCTAGAATCCTCTTCCTCGCATACAGTGATGTAAAACCAAGAGTGTAAAGCATAGCAGTGAATTGCTGCTGGTTAAGAAGTCAATGACTGCATTTCCCATTGTGTACTACTCATGCCATTTCGTGTGCGAAGGGGAATGCAAGCACTGACTTTTTAAATAGCAGCAATCTGCCATTGTGATTTACATATGTGACTTATACTGGCATATGTAAGTGACAGGATTCTTGCTGCATAATTTTTGGAACACTTGCTTGTTCCAAAGATTCTTAGCAGGAAACAAAAAACACTCAGTCTCTAAATCCTAATTTGTTTTCTGCAAGGTACTTCATATGTTTCCAGCTGAAAACACCAGTGCAGATATGCCTCATCCTAAGAATGCATGCTCTTATCTGATTTAACCTACATACACATACACATGAATTCTGGTTTCTAGATACACAGCTTGACGTCAACTCATTCTTCATATAAAGGATGTGTTTCACAAGCAATAGTCAATCTTGTGTAAATAGTAAAGGTCCTTAAAAAAACCCAACAACAGAACACCATAATTACTTACACTTGAAACTCTTCGTATGAAACTCCACTTGAGCTGCTACCTCTCCTCCTGGAGCTATGTCCACTGTCATCATCATCATCCTCTTCAGAGTCATCAAGGCTTCGTGGAAAGCTACGGCTACTTAATGGGCGGTTTAGAGAGTTTCTATCCAGTTCTAAGTCCTCCTTAGTGAAAACAATAAACATGATTAAGCTGAACACAGGGGCAATTTTAAAAAGACATTTCAACTCAAGTCAAAAACAATTTAGGCAGTGTTCTGGAAAGTACAAGTAACAGTTTTAGATTTAATAAACCCCGAGGGTTTTGTGACATACTGTATCTGTAAACAGAAAATATATTGTATGATACAGTTAAATAAAATCATTTGAAGACAACAAGCAGGATTGTTGATACCAAAACCCACCCTCTCTTTCTCCAAATCGTCTCTCATTTGTTGATGCTCCAACTCAGTCAATTCTTGATCACCATCTTGATCGTATTTTGTAAAGATGGCTTCAATCTCTGCATCAGTGTGTCCTTTTCTGGCAATAAAAGATAGTCTCCAATTTTTCAGCTAGTTATTTACAATGTGTCAACAAAAGGTTGTCAAAATGTACACAGTAAAACAAATCATACATGTATAAGTAAAAATTAAAATTATAAATACAAAGAAGTTAATAATATTACACTACTGCCTCTTGAACTTCTGCTGGAATCATTACTAATGTTAGCAACAAATATGTATTGGAAAAAAACAGGCAAAATTCATCTTTAAAAACAAATGGGCAAAGTACACTGGGAAATAATGGGTATGTCCAAACCAAAGTGAGGAATGTCATGTCATTTGCTCAAATATGACACACCTAAACTTCTGTTATATTCGAAATCCCACTCCCCATCACATAATATATCATTTTTATAACTGCTTTATTCTTTCAATGTCATGTCATTTGCTCAAATATGACACGCCTAAACTTCCTTTATATTCCAAAGCCCACTCCCCATCACATAATGTATCATTTTATAACTGCTTTATTATTTCTCAACATTGGATTGATTGATTGATTGATTGATTGATTGATTGATTGATTAACTTTTAATATTGCTTGTTTTCTTATTCTAAGCTGCCTTGGGTACTCTTGATGAGAAAGATGAGGCATATATATTTTAAATAAATAACAATACAATACACTGTTTTTGAACTGTGATCAATAGGAGCAGAAGAGTACAGAATAACATTTTCTGTTTGCTGACACATGACACAACAAATAGAATTGAGACAGATCCCAGTAGTGAACATGGAGAGCTAATAGGAATTCCATGTGGGAGAGGCAGTAAGGAGAGATAACAAGGAAAGAGTCTACTGGAGGAAAAGATGAAAGAAAATGGGAGACTAAGGTGACAAGGGCGGAGACTTATATATTAGTGGATTTTCCACTCAGATTGTCATACAGAGGAGGGGGCAGAATCTGTTCTTGGTCATCCCAGACTGCAAGACATATAACAATGGGCTCAAGTTACAGGAAGCCAGATTTCATTGGAATATCAGGAAAAACTTCCTATTAGAGTAGTATGACAATGGAACCAATTACCTCTGGAGATGGTGAGCACTCCAACGCTGGAGGCAATCAAGAGAAAATTAGACAATCATCTGTCATATATACTTTAACTTAGATTCTTGCAATGAGCAGGAGGGTGGACTTGGGGGCCTTACAGACTCCTTCCAACTCCATTATTCTATGATTCTATGACTCACCCCTTCAGATCCTGCCGCAATTCATCAAAGTTTAATTTGCCTCCGCTTTGTCGCAGACTCTCTGAAATGTCATCAACTGGTGTTTTCTTCAGTTTTAATTTCACCATGGCATCAGTGTATCCCTGAAAAAAGAAAAGAAAAACAGTATGTTTAGAATATGATCAAAATATGGTGGAAGTTGAAGACTGTCTAAAATGTATCCTTTTAAGGATGCTTACTCTGTCCCTCAAATTTTATACGCTATGAATACAATGACTGTCTTACTTCCATGTGACAAAAGACTTATCAGTGACTTAGAATGTGCCCATATCTACTATAAAGTCTATCACTACAGAGATCAACTACAGTATTTCATTTGGGACTCAATGCGGATCAGTGCTATCATGGAGATGAACTCACTGTGAGCTATCATGGAGATGAACTCACTGTGAGCTAATCAAGCAGTAACATTTTGCGGTTGCCATTTCAGTCATATCAAGAAAGGGCTGGCAAATTTGCACAGTGTTTCTGGCTGTATTAATTACCTTGTCTGAGAGCACTCAAAAGTTCAGGAATGTTCTGTTATGCACGCATGTGACTGCATTTGCATTCCATTAGATTTCACTGCCTTCAAATCACAGTTAAACAAGGATATGCAGAATGGTGATAAGATATCCCAATTTCTGAATTCACGTTATGAATACAAGATACTCTGTAATCATCATCATCATCATCTTAGAACTGCAGAGCTGGAAGAACCCCATGAATCATTGAGTCCATCTCCTGTCAAGGAGGCACAGTGGGGAATCGAACTTCCAACCTCTGGCTCTGCAGCCAGATGCCTAAACGACTGAGCAATCTAGCAGTTCATCAATTGCATGTAAGCACAGTACATCCACTAGGATCTGAAGATGTTATCTGATTCCATCCCCCAGAGCAATGATCAGCCAGTGTGCCATACCTTTGTTTGGTGTCTGTCAAGCGGACTATTACATCACAGTCTTAGCCCCTTATCAATATATTCCAGTCCATACAAGTACAGTACTGTAGTATTTATCCTGGTTTGGATTATATATCAGGTTTATATCTACAACAACAAATATCTAAATCGGTGGTTTTGTGTCCATGTTAAGCAACTATGCTAAGTAACAGGATTTCAGCTACTATGTGACTCTTTAATAATAATAGCTAAAATCCAACTGAAAGTCACAACTAGTGTAAGCCAATCAAATCAGTGGGTTTTTGGTGAGTCATCTCCTCCACAAGTTCCACTGATTCAATGGGCCTATTTTAGTTCCAGCTTACTATAGAATTTCAGCCAACATGTGGACTTTAAAAAGTGCGTAAACAAATGGTGGTAATTCCACACTAAAAACTCAAATTCAAAGCAGTCAAGAAATAATGTGCTGTTAGCTGAAGTCATACAAGCAGATGTGATAGATAGTTACCTTTTTTATAAGATCTGACAGGTCCATTTCAGACTTCTGCTGTGCCATATCTGACTTAACTTCCGAATATGTATCATTGATGATCGCCAAAAACATGTTCTGTTTAAGACAAGCATTTAAGAAAATAATTTATCAAAACAACACACTTTTAATACAATTAATTTTAATATTTAGAGTGTGTTAAGTTTCATCTTAGAAGTTTCTTCTGAATGCAAATCCATGCACCATGCAAGAAATAATTTGCAACTGGTCTGCTAACTGGACCTACAGTTAAAGCAAAACAGCTTTTCCTTGTTCCTCTTAACCAGATTTAACACACCTTACAAGCAGGGTCAGATCATAATCAATCTCTGGGGTAAAAATGGCAGATGTTAGAGGGCAGGACAAGCTTGACAATCTCCCTGCTTCAGCTTCATTCACTCCAGCAAGAACTGGGCTCAAGATTTAACCTTCTTTTGCTGAAACTGGCAGTTCCATTCACATCCATAACTTGTTCTAGAAGTTTGAATTCAGAGTTCAAAGTATTCTTTAAAAGAAAAATGACTTGAATCTCTTGATCTGCCTTGGTTGGCTATAAACAATGGGAGTGATTAATCATAATCTATTGTAAAAATATTAATAATCCAGTCACAAAATACTGATGAGCATTTATTTTTTCATTCTAGAAACAAAATGCTTTCTAAAACTTGTATCTGCCCTACCCCAGCCTAGGCCCACTGTGCATACTTAAATGTTCATTCTGAATGGTAAAGGTCATGTTATCAGATTAGTGTATGGAAATCTATCTATGCAGGCCGTTTTGATTATTTCTTTGTGACTCTGGTCCCCCTTTCAACACAAATAAAATACTGTGATGAGACTGTCCTGTTGCCAATTAGCAAGATTATTTTGGAAAACACACATTTTTGATAAAGTTTATTTTTTTCACTTATTGAGAAGCCAAATGTCTTTAGATTATCTCCTACAAGTAAACAGGCACACCACATAAAATTGTCAGTTCCATCTGAGAAGATGATGACATGGAAAATAAAATCTAAAAATATTTTTACATACCAAAAGAATGAAGAACATAAAGAACACAAATGAAGTGAAATAAACTGGTCCCAAAACTCTGTTAGCTTCTTCAATCTTTGTAAAGTCAAAATCTCCCAAAAGGATTCGGAACTGGGTAAAGCTTTAAAGAGGAGGACATAATTTTAACCATGTTAGTAACTGTAGCACAGCAGAATTTTATTATTGTTGTTATTGTTATTATTATTGCAGCCTGTTGCTCATCTTTAATTTTTCAGTATATATTTTTAATGGAAAGTCAGTGACTGGTAGTAAAATCCAACTTCTGTGTCTAACAATTCAGCAAAGCACCATGTGAGTTCAGAGTTTTTGATAAACTGACAAGACTGCAAAGCCACTGAAAAACTGAAGTATTAATTATCTGACATGTCATGTCCAAACTAGGAAACCACACCTCACCATCTATTGGAATTGCTTTGAAAATCTCTAGGTGTATGGATGGTTTGGGAGTGGCACACCCAGCCATTAGGCTAAATGAGAAGAGGGGACATGGCTGAGGAGGGGAAGCATTGTAACACTGTTAAATTTAATTCAGGACAACTTTAGCATTTCAACTGGTTTACAGAAACTAGATAACAAGTAATTGTTTGTAATATAACATACAATGTTTCATTATGTTTACATTTCCTTAAAGAAACATATTTAATGCTATAGTTCTGGAACACTTAATAACATTTATAGAATTTTTACAAGGAATTTGACACAAACATCTCTGTCTGACAAAGACTGACAGTTTTGTAACAATTTGTTGTACTTACATACTCTCCTGGAAGGTACTGAAGTCATCAACTTGTGTTCCAAACACAAGATAGGCTAACTGAGCATAGGCTAAGAAAATGACGAAAAACATAATGGCAAAGCCAAGAACATCTTTGGCACATCGTGACATTGTGGTAGATAACTGGCTCATTGTTCGATTGAAGCCAATAAATTTGAAGAGCTGTTAAGGAAGATTACAAATATGTAAAGAACTACATTGTTCAGAGGGAAAAGACAATAATAGCTGGAAGAATTATGTTGCTCATTACATGAATTGTAATGGGTTCTATTAACAGCTGAAACAGTGAAGAATTTAGTTCACTGTTTCAGGGGTAACATCAAGCTATAGTTTGTCCTAATCATAGTTTGAACTTCTGAGTTACTATGTTTCAGACATACAGGAAAATGAAGCTTTGCATAAAAACACCATAGCGATGCATTAAAGATTAATGTATTTTATCATATCACAAGTGTTTGTGGACCACAACCCATTTCCTCAGATGCAGTAAATTAGTGCCATTTCATTTTTCCCCTGCTTGCACTTAGATTCCCTGGATGCTATTCTAAACAGCAGTCTCTGAAAGCCCAGCAAAATTACAAAGCATAGGTTGTCAATTCAGATTTAATACATCACTTTGCCAAAGCTTTCCACTGTGACTTCAGATACTGGTCTTGTGTGTGGCTGCCTATCATAGCTGGCTTGATATTATTGATTCAAACATAGTTAAAATTATAGCTTGGTATTTACACATGAAGTACCTTAGACACCTGCACACCAATATAACAGAAAGAAACTGGAATAACTGGTGCTAACAGACCAATATACATACAAAGTCTAAGATTTTCTTGGACTTCATATATACATGTCCAAGCAAACTTTAGGCTTCTGTTTGACAAAATTTAGTTTTTCCATCACTGAATCTCTGCTTGTGTGCAAACCAGGGACTATGATTTATGACTAACTCTGATAAGTTTCAAAACTGGTTCCTTAAACTAACTAGAGAGGATTATACACTACAGCCTTTGCATAATGAAACCTGAAAGAAAAATTAAACTTTGTTGGCATCCTGTTCCCTAGTTTTCCAGAAGACGAGAAAGGAGATACAATTGTGTACACCTGAGGCTTGCTTGGAATCATAAACATCAAAATAAACCAAAGTTGAGTCATGTGCAAATTACACCATTTTCTTAACTGGAAATATTTTGATAAAACCAAATTATGGAAAAAAACATAAAATGTGGACTTATACATTTATCTCCATAAACAGATTTCCTAATCCACAATAAAGATATAAGGAGCTTCAAATGTTGTATACTAGATACACTATTTACTTGAACTAGATATACGAGTTCAAGTTATTTTGGTATACTATGCCAAAATAAAACAAAAAACCTGCAATTGTATACATGACTATATTTAAAATTTAAAAGCCTGCACTTGTATACATGACCTTAGTGTGGAATGTTTTGTTTCTGACTATGGGTCATAAGGCAGGATGTGATATATGTTTAAAGGAATAATGAGCACAGTCTGTACATTTTTCTTTCTAAGTCACAGATATTAATTTCTTAGAAAAGGAATATGGCCATCATGTGCTTGTATTTGCTTAAAACATAATAAAATTTGAATTACCTTCATCCAGACAAAAAACATGGTGACAGCTGCAATATAATTGAACTGTGTCTGCCAGTATGCTAAAGGTTCAAAATTTGGAAAGGTATTTTGATTTTCCAGCAGCTTCTTCAGTAATCTATCCACGGTAGATGTTCGATATATATTAATTCCTATAGCTGCCACTGATAGCTGAATGTAAAAAACAAACAAATAGGTGAACAATATTGAACATGTATTTGTGAAGGCTTTCACGACCGGAATCTAATGGTTGTTGTGGGTTTTTCGGGCTCTTTGGCCGTGTTCTGAAGGTTGTTCTTCCTAATGTTTCTCCAGTCTCTGTGGCTGACATCTTCAGAGGACAGCACTCTGTGCTCTGGTGACAGAGTGCTGTCCTCTGAAGATGCTGGCCACAGAGACTGGAGAAACGTTAGAAAGAACAACCTTCAGAACACGGCCAAAGAGCCCGAAAAACCCACAACAACCAATATTGAACATGCTTCATAGTAAATGTTACAACTTTCTTACATAAGAACATTAACTTCTGTCTATGTCTCCTTTTTTGCAAATCCAACATGTGGAACAACCAGAGAAAGCACCAAAGGTGTCTTCAGCAGTGTAAAAGGGGATCTGGGGGACTCTGACCGACATTTATCAAAAAATGGTTCAAGCACACTGTCAATACATTCTCATTCAACTTTAATGTGTATGTGACTACTGCCATACCAATACATGAAGTGTTCTTACAGAGCATGGATCATTATTATTCTAAATTACTGTTTTATGTTACTCATTAAGCACACAGAGATTTAGCTTGTCACATTGCTCATTCTGCTGGCTTCAAATGTAACTTGCTCTGTTATCACTAAATAACTGTTTTGTTAATGAGCTCATCTTCCTGCTTAAGGGCATAAGTGGCAGAGGGTGGTTTTTCATGCCCTTCTTTCATTGCTTTTAAAGAAGGATCCTAAACCACTGAGGTCAGTGCAGGGTCCTTCTCCTCCCTTCTTTTTCTTCTGTTCCCTCCATGCTTCCTTCCACTTCCAGAATGATGTAAAGTGGTGTGATATGATGCAGCAGGAAACACGGTTGCCAAACCTGCTGTACTGTGCACCCTATCTTTCTATAGCACTCAAAATTTGGAGGAACCTTCTCTAAAATGAGATTCTGAAATTTACCTCTTACTCAACTCCAATAATGTAGAAAAATGTGTTACTTGGGATCCCCACAAAAAGGGAACATTTTGGTGACTGTTACAATCATTTTTGAAGGGACCAGTATTACTTCTGCAGCAGAAGTGACTTGTTATCCTTTACTGATACCTGCAACAAATTATCCCAATCTATGTCCTCTGCTACAGTCATCTGGCAGGCTGGTCCTTTCCTGTTATCTCTACCTTCACCTGCAGCTGCCTGCCAGAGATGGAGTAAGGTTACAGGTTCAGGGAGCTTCCATTCCCAGCAGGAGCACATGCAGCTGCCAAAGTGGTGATACTGAACCTACTTCCTGGTATTTTGGGAATTCCCTACAGATATCTCCTGTACCTTGCTTCCATCAGAATTATTACCGAGGACTTTCCTGCCAAGGTCCATAAATCTGTCCCACAACATCATAGTAATGAAAGATTTTTATTCATCAGATTTCACTTACCACAATAATGAGAACATCAAGACAATTCCAGAGACTCCTGAAATAGAAAAGTCTATGGATGTGAATTTCCAGGATTTCTTCTACTATGTAATAAATAATAAAGAGGCAAAAAACAATTTCACAGGCAGCTAGGAAGAAGTCAAAAGTTGAAATATAGTGGATCAGCTTCACTGTCTGGAATTGCCAAGACGTAAGGAGGCCTCCTGTTGGTGGGAACTCCACCAATAATCTGCATTTAAAAATAAAAGAATATATGATATATCTTGTTATTACTATTAACTTTCATTTTTATTGCTGTGAATAGCCCCTCAATTATCTTTTTTTACTGAAAAATGCCTTAAGTACAGCCTATATTATAAATGCAGTATATAATGAGGTCCTAATGTTTTTACAGGCAGCTATACACATACAAACAAGCCACTGAAATATATATCTCTACACTGGCATATATTTTAAATATATGTCTCTGTCTACAATGAAAGGTATAAGAATTTTGGACTATAGGACTCAACAATTCCATAAATGTCAGTCTTAAATATTTGGGGGGGGGGAATAAAATATACATATATATAGTTTGTTTTAACTCCTAATAAATACAGCCAAATGTCCAAGTAAACGGGCACAGAAGTGGGCCATTAATATTCTATATTTATAAATTAACTTTCAAAAATTCCTGACCTACCTGATAATACAGAACAGATTGATATTTGCATTGTACACTGAAAAATCAATAAATGTTGCCCTTGTGCCCCTGTCAAGCCACATGTTGTTTTTAAGGATGGCAATTAATACAGCTGTCTCTTCTCGGCTTCTGGCAAGATCCTGGTAATAGCCAGCTCCACTGTATGTTGCAATTAACCCCCAATGGCTGCTCCCGTTCATGTTCTTCTCACTGGTGTAAGTCCAACTGAAATGCAACATAGGAAACACCAAAGATATGGCTGTCGTAATTTTTAATCAAGAATTCCATTAAAAGAGAACAATTATGAAACAGTTTAAGACTTTTATTCTCTCAGCCTGTTTTCTCTGCAGTGGAAGTAAAATGGGGTTGCAAATATGAACGTACAAGCTATTCAAAAACATATTACAAAGGCTTTTTTGCTAGCAGTTTAATTAATTAGCACTTTAAAGATATCAATTATAATAGAGTATAATAGAGAGAACACAGCACAAACTAATTTACTATCTGGTAAGTCTTGGTTTTGATAGTCAGAGTCACTCACTAAAATATATCTTAAAACCACAAGAATTGCATTGACAATAAATATGCAACAAAAATACATACGCAGTTCCATTGTGGAGCCCAAATGGAGCAGTATCCTCATTACCCACAGAGTAAACATCATAACAGTCTTTAATTTCCTCTTTCAAATCTTCGGGAATTGAACATGAGCCATTCCTCACTTTCAGTTGTCGTATACGAGGCACCCCCAAAAGCAGGTTCTCATGGTATATGAAGCTGCTATTTTCTGCCACTGTTTTATTATTGTACCATATTTCCCAGTAGAGTCCATCTAGCAACGGGCCTTCAGTGAACTGAAACAGAAGGCAATTTAGAGGCAATTTTAAAAACAGGTATTCATTTACTTCTTAATAATGGGTTAAATCTGTTAGCCCTACATAGACTAGACTCACTGAAATCAATGGGATTTCAGTTGTGACAAATTCTCAAGTCAAGCCCCCACTGTACTTCTTAATAATGGGCTAAATCTGTTAGCCCTACATAGACTAGACTCACTGAAATCAATGGGATTTCAGTTGTGACAAAGCCCCACTCATAGGTAGGCACCATTAAAATCCACTATTAGGTGGGTTTAGCAGATTCATACAGTGGGGTCTCTACTTAAGAACGTCCCTACTTAAGAACAATTCCACTTAAGAACAGCTCCATTTGCTAAATTTTGCTTCTACTTGAGAACAAAAATCCAGATAAGAACAGGAAAAAAAAACTTTCCTGCTCTTTTTTTAACCTTAGGTCATCTTAGGTTAAAAAAAAATTCTCTTCCTAGTGGTAGAGTAGGTATTAACCAGCTTTGCATTAGTTCGTATGGGAACTAATGCTTCAGTGTACGAACGCACCTCTACATAAAAAAAACCGCCAGAACGGATTAATTGGTTTTCAGTCCATTGCTTCAAAATTAGCTTTGTCAGAAATGCTTTTAACCCTGTTCCCTGACCTAAGGGAAAAAAAAAAAAGAAAAAAATCCCCCTCTAGTGGTAGAAGGCGGAATAGCAGCTTCCCATTAGTTTCTATGGACGGAAAAGAGCAGATACGGATTAAATGGTTTTCAATGCATTCCTATGGGAAATGCAGATTCTACATAAGAACTTTTCCACTTGAGAACCACCTTCCAATACGGATTAAGTTCTTAAGTAGAGACCCCATTGTATCATGTTTCAGACATACAGCTACATATTTCTTCTATTTATAATACAGCAAATTTCAGTAATATTGAACAGTTTTGAATATCAAAGTGCCTGATAACATCTAACTGTATTTTCCCCAAGATGTATACTTCACAATCATACAGAAAAATACTCACAATTCAGTCATCTATGTGTTTATTCAGAACCCACCCACCCCCCACTGAGATCAGGACTTATTCCTGTATCTTGGATTGCAGCATCATAGGAATAAAGACTGTTTCCAGACTACCAGAGAAGAGCTGTGTTTAGTTAAATGTATTCCTCACTAGAACATCACTTTCCATAACAAATGAATAGAGAAACATACAGGTAGGTTGGCTAACATCAATTTCAAATCTGGCTTCTTTGGAAATCTGGACTAATGCCTATATTAAACTCTGCCAAGCTATATAAATCTTTTCAAGATTCTGACAGACTAAAATTGCTTTAGAACTATTTCTGACAATACACGTTGCCCACATCTTGTACATATTACTTTAATCTCTTACAGCTCAAGGATCAAATTCTAAACTATACCTTCCAGAAGTCTTCCATTGTGGTCAAAGTTCTGAAGTTGGTCTTCTCCAGCTTTGATACTGGCACATCTAGAAAGAGCTGTGACATTACTCTTGTATAATAATATGTGTTAGAACTCACCATTCCATAAGACACTGTAAAACATTAATTTGGAAGAGAGAAAAAAACCCGTTTCAATTGTATATTTAAAAATTCTTTAAAAACGCAAAACATATAGACAGTTTTCTATCTGTGTGATAGTAGAAAGTTCCTGAAAAAGACAAGCCCCTTGCCAAATGTGTTTTGATCTCACCAGTTTCTGGCCACATGCTGCTACTAACTTGTTAATTAGGGCACAATTTTTCTGTGCTTAAAATTTTTCTATCAGACACTTCTTTTATCTCTGTTAAAGATTAAGAAGCACTCGCACAAAAGGCAGAGTTAGTGAACTACAATTCCCAGAATCTCTGGACATTGCTAACTACAGCTTGTGAGCATTATAATCAAAGATGTCTGAAAAGCGCCAGGATGCCCAATTCTAATCTCAGATATTGCTTTCCAAAATGTCATATTGCACAATAATCAGAACCAGATATATTTGAAAAAGAAACAAAACAACATAATATATATAATAATTTAAACAGAGTAACTAATCTATTTCCAATGTATTTGGCATAAAAAAGTAACCAGAAAAACAACTCTATAGAACAAAATTGTAATGAAGTGCTTCAGATAAGCCCAGATCCAGTTAATCATTTCAGGAAATTGTTAATGTTTATAGCACTTTCCAGGAGATGGGACTCCAGGCCAACAGTGAGGTCTTACTGTAATTTATGCTTCCCTAGGAAGCAGTGCTATTGGCAGAAGCATAGATGAATTAGCACTATTATGCTCCAACAGGAAAGGGACTAAAAACCCTAATGGTACTGTCCATACATACACATCTTGTCAGCCTCTTTGAATCATTGTAACAGGATATCGTTTATACATTTTGGAAATAAATCACGTATTTACAGACTTTTAAAACAACAGTCACAAAGTAAGAAAACATAATTTAATAGTATCCAAAACCAATTGGAAATACTTTATAAACCCGTCTGTCATGTTTGTGGCACTTGTTATCATTTACACATTTTGGAAATAAAATCACGTATTTACAGACTTTTAAAACAACAGTCACAAAGTAAGAAAACATAATTTAATAGTATCCAAAACCAATTGGAAATACTTTATAAATCTGTCTGTCATGCTTGTGGAGCTCTTTTCACTTGTGAAAATGGAGTAACCATGACATCTGAGTGTAACCCGTTTTCCTAAATAGTTTAACAACATATCCAGATGAGCATATCACTTACTATTAAGATTGCTTTTGTGCTATTTGTTTCAAAATCAAGTAACACCTTCCCCACTGATTTTGACTTGGCGATCCACCCCAACCCTTTTTAGAGCTGTCCCACTCGTTTTTGGCACAGCAGTAGAGCTACAGGTTCTTTGGGATAATTTGGAGGGCTCCTAGTTATCCCATTCTGTAGCCCGTGTGGGGTGATGTTATCTGAGGTGACAATCTGTGATGTACGTGGTGGGTTGTGGCATTGAAAGGCATGACGAAGAACACCCCCTCTATTTTCATCTACTGTTTTAATTTTTTTTTAAATAAATGAATATTCTTATTGATTCAGTGCTTTTCTAGATAAACAAGATAGAAACATTTGGTGTATTATGTGTACCATGTTAGGCAGATGCATTCCTGTTTCGCTGTCACTTACTTTATTTAACCAAAAAAAAAAAAAAAAGGAAAAAAGGAGTCACTAAGGTCCCTTGACTGAATGCTGGCCACAGAAAAAGGAGTGTCGTTAATAGAAAGGGAGACAAATTGGAGCAATCCAAAGACCAGTCTACCTTTTCATGGGAGAAAAACCATCGACCAGTGTGCACTAAAGTTAAGAATATTTGCAGCATGAACCGGATCACTCCAACTTCCCTAACTGGATGTGCCTCAGAACTTAGAAATAATCACAACTGCCTAAAATATGATGGCTAAAAAAAAAGTATTGCTCCCATCCAGGTCACCTCGAACTAATTTGTACTCAGCTAACTTGGTGTGCTCACTGGAAGGACAGATCCTGCAGCTGAGGCTCTAATACTTTGGCCATTTCATGAGAAGACTCCCTGGAAAAGACCCTGATGTTGGGAAAATGTGAAGGTAAGAGGAGAAGGGGGACAACAGAGGATGAGATGGTTGGACAGTGTTATCGAAGCTACCAACATGAAGTTGACCAAACTCCGGGAGATAGTGGAAGACAGGAGGGCCTGGTGTGCTCTGGTCTATGGTGTCACAAAGAGTCGGACAGGACTAAACAACCAAACACCAATTTGGTGTCAAATGGAAGACGGTCTCCTACCTCTCCAGCAGCTGGTGCAGCATGTACAGGTTACTGAAATCTTCCTCTAATGCAGCCAATCAGCCGTTTGCTAGCTGGCTTGATAAAAGGGGTAGGTTTTCTAGGCAAAACTGAGAAGGAAAGCTCCATCTACGATTTGCCTGAAGAGTGCAAAAGGAATGTCAATATACCCCTCTGCTTGGTCTTCCTGAACTTGTATCATTTGTTGCACTGTTCCTGGATGTTACACAGCTGCTGGTTGATGAGGCACAGAAGGAATTTTATGTCAGTTCATGTGGATTTTGCTTCTCCTACTGCACTTCATTCTGGTTCTTTGCTCTTGCATTTTCCGGTCACAACTTTAATGTAAAGTGGTTAAGGCACTGGGGGGCGGGATTCAGCTTTGGGATAAGCAGAATATCTTTTAACTATTTTGGAAGTAAAAGTTTTCAGGAACATGAAACTCCTATACTTGCTTTATTCCAATATGATAGGGAAACAATGCAAAAGTGTGTGGCCTATGTGTTTTGCCATAAACTATCACCCAATGCTTTTTTCCAGCTTGTGTACTCAGGAACGGCAATTCATATGTTAGCAGATATCTAGATATATTGTCTTAAGCCTCACCAAGATATTTCAAATGTAACCACTACATTTGAGTTCATTTTCTTCTCATTATGTGGGTATTTACATATAATCCCTTCCCGTTCACACTCCACCTTCCCTTTAGAAACAGTACTACAACACACTAGACTTATAACCACTTACTTGTTACATATGATATTAATTGGCTATAACATTAAGGTATCAGCAAACAGAGTACTTACAGACAGAAAGGACCAGAAGGAACATCAAGTATGTGATTAATTCTCGCAAAACACTTTTCAGGTATTTCTCTCTGGTGGTAGTTTCTTCCATTAGTCTTGTACCCCACAAACCTTGAAAAAGAAGAGTTACCATTAGACAGTAACTGTGCTAGTAATAACTGGTCAAAATGTTATGATTTTAAATTGATATCTAACCGGTGACATTAATTTTTCCCTCTCCAACCTTGGGTCCCCAATTTTATTGCAAACCCCAGAAATCCTAGCCAGCACAGCTAGTGGGTGAAGACTTCTGAAAGTTTTAGTCCAAGAACATTTGGGGGCCCAAGGTTGGGAACCACTGCTCTACATGACTGATTGCTAGAAATTTAACATTCAATTATATCTGCTAAATAATAGATGAACAGAAATCTTCCACAAAGAGGACTTATTATACACCAGGTATACACAGAATTATGATGAAGCCTAGACACTTGATTGTATATCATAGGCTTCAAACCAGAATCCTCTGCAAGCACACAGTGATTTACTCAAAACAACAAAAAGTCTTGTGGAAGCCAAGAGACTGACCAGATTTATTTGGCTTACGTTGCTGTATACTGCAAGTCACTTTTTCAGATGTATGCATCCAATGAATCAGCTTCAACTCACAAAAGCTTATTACAAGTAGCACATGTTGTCCTTTAAGCTTCCACTAAACTCTTTCCCCTTTTTACTGTAACAAGGCTATCAGAGATTGATTGATTGAGTGATTGAGGGTAAACTTGCAGTCTTTCGTAAATTTATGTGAAAGCAAGCTGGACTCAGTTCAATGGGATTTACCTAAAAATATACAAATACAGAACATACATATTCAAATAGATGACTATACAGTGTGTATCTCAGTGTTCAAAAATTTGAGTCTGGTTTTCTTGTGGCTAAAACAATGGAATAGCAATGCTCAGTAACTGGGAGCCAGACCTACTATGGTAAGTCCTGATCTTTCCCCTAATAAAAGATGTCTAGGTGTTCAGGTTATTTTGTATGTTATGTGTGTGTTCTGTGCTGTCACATCTGTTAAATTAATATGTCTGATTTCTTTCTCTTTTTTTGTATTTTTCTGTACCATAAATGTTTTGCTATGTAATCCATATATTGCTTCCACGCCAAGAAGTGGAAACAGGATTATAAATGGGATTATAAATCTAATTGATTAGATTAGGCATCCTTCTTTGAATAGTGGTCTTGGAACAGTGTGGCTGAGAAGGCCAATTCCAGAGTGACAATCCCTTCCACACTGAAGATAGATACAATCTGTCCCCTGTTCAGCTCCCTGATTTTGTTGGTTTTGGGACTGCCTCTTTGCCTCGGCTTGCTGAACAAGTGTCTCATCAAATTGGGAGAGGCCATGCTGCACCGCTGAACACTCCAGGCTGAACACTCGGATGTCAAGGTTTCGTATCTGTTGAGGTCCATTCCTAAGGTCTTCAGATCCCGCTTGCAGATATCCTTGTATCACAGCTGTGGTCTCCCTCTGGGGCGCTTTCCCTGCACTAATCATACAGGAGATCTTTTGGAATCCGACCATCAGCCATTCTCACAATATGCCCAAGCTAACATAGACGTCGCTGTTTCAGTAATGTATACATGCTAAAAATTCCAGCTTGTTCTAGGACTGCTCTGTTTGGAACTTTGTCCTGCCAGGTGATGGCAAAAATGTGTTGGAGACAAAGCATATGGAAGGTGTTCAGCTTCCTCTCCTGCCGTGCACAAAGGGTCCAGGACTCACTGCAGCACAGGAATGTGCTCAGGACACAGGCTCTATAGATGCACATTCAAATCTTATAGATGCACATACAAACTAGGGCTCCTATTCTTAATTTTGCTAGTTTATCTCATTTTTTTAAAAAAGGAAGTGACTAAAAAGCTTAGTTCATTCTAAAGTATTTTAAATATAAATACATGCCAACAAAGCCCTTAAGTGAATGACACTCCCTCTTTTTTCTCTCTCCCTGAAATGATGCTTGCTAGAATACAAACACACCCCATCTAAGAAAACACAAAATTATGTGTCATGCTTGTGAGCTTGTTTTTTTTTCTCTCTCTAGAGTCAAATTTAAAGGAACCGATCTGAACAAAGGGAAACCGGGATCGCGGGGTCTGAAACGCGAAAGAAGGATCTAAAGGAATGCAAAAAACAAAAACAAAAAAAGAGGTGGGAAATGTTGCTCAGCCCAGGCTGATGGAAGGCCGATGGGTTCCGGAGTTACTCACGGACGGGTGGAGCCTGGGGCGGGATGTGCAAAAAGAAGAAAGGGGGGAGGGGATGATGGGAATGAGAGTCCTGAACGGGCGACGGAGCCCGGCGGGCGGGGACTCACCTCGCAGCCGCCGCGCCAGCCCCTTGGTCCAGGCGCCGCGGTGAGGCGGGGGAGCCGCGGCCTCCCCGTCGGCCTGAGGGAAAGGCGAGGGCCGCGCGTCTCGCCCTCCGCCACTCCCGGGGGAGCGACGGTCTCCTTCCCCC